AACTGCCTTGATGCTTTGAGGATGTCAGTAGGAAGAGACGAATGCATACTGACTGTGAATTTGTTGCTTGGTGTTCCATCGCCACTAACTTTACGTCATTGTCACTTCCACCAGGAATCGGAGGACCGCATACTGCCCCACACAGGCACAACACTCATCGTATCTCAACTAGAGCAATGGTGGTATCCATTCTGACCCAAGATGCATGGGTCACTCGTGAGTGACTGGACACACCGGCCACGACACATCAGCTCTTCCTGCATGCTCTGCCGAAGGCAACGGTTTAACTTGTATGCGCTCTAAAAATTCTGCTACTCCACTTTTAATCGAAGTGCTGGAGGTTAGGAAGGTTCGTTGGGGTTCGCAGTTGGTCATATGACTGATCTTATTGGTAGACCATTACGTAGAATGGATCAGTTGCTCTAACATTCCCTTCTGGCAAATGACAACTCTACATAGTTGAGTCACTGAAAGTTACTTAGATCTAACTGTGAGTAGGTGGATCCAAGATGAGAGAACTGATCTGAGGTTACAAGAATGAACGGAGTAGAGACCGACGCAATGCAAATAAACACCTTATAAATCTTATTACTCTTCCTTTCTCTGGCATGACTTAAATGGTAAAAATGGGTTGTCTTTGGGCGACGGAAGTTCAAATAAATGAATACACTAATTTAGGTGGATGGCAATATATATATAGAGAGTTGAACCGTCGGCTAGATAATGTTGACGTGTCTCCATTGTCCCATGTTATTATTGCCCGCAAAGCAAGGCTGCATCAAGAGATCTTCTCTGATTGATGGCTTGTAGCTGTAGCAAGGGTGATAAGGAAAGGCAGTCCTGGTGAAATGATCAAGATTCATTAGGCTTCCGCAAAACACTTCTTGACTCCCTCCACATAGTCCCTATCCACTGAAGACCATAAGCACCCTGTTAACCATTAAGCGTATATTTCACTCCAAGAATGTTCACACCTGGGCACACAAAAAACAGAGCAAAAGAGCCCGCTCTGTGCACAAATGGCAAGTGTTAGGCTAAATTGCCGAGCTCTAAGAGACGTGATTTCTACCTTTGCATTGTCACACGTACCATGAGAATAGGTGTTCCGGTAATGTCCAACTTCTTTAGGGGTGCAGCATTCCCGGTCTGTCGAATGAGAAGGTGAAGTCCGTCATTTGAGCAAAAATCATGTTTGACTTCTGAGCATGACTATCGTGGCCCCGATGCAGGTGCGAAAGTAGCCATACCCATAAATAATTGTGTGGTTATTGCGGAGCGATTGCAATTCAAATAGGTGGCCAAATTCAAGCAAGCATATTATGACTGCCTGCCTACAAGGCAATGCCGAGGAGAAATTTGAGGTTCCTGGGAGGAACACTTGACAGACACAAGGCAAGGTGCAATTATTGCCAAATGGACGGAGGTTAACACACCAAGTGCAAACAATAACAACCAATGCAAGCGGGAAGCGTTGAGAGAAATAAGAGAGCAGAGTGACAGAGA